TTAAGACGGGGTTTCACCGTGTTGGTCAGGCTGTTCTTGAACTCCCGACCTTAGGTAATCCACCCGCCTTGGCCTCCAAAGTGCTTGGATTACAGGCGTGAGCCACCACGCCCGGCCTCAAAACAGAAGTTTTGATGGGTGACAATATCAAATCAGTAGGGTGTGTGTGTGTGTGTGTGTGTGTGCGTGCGCATGTGTGCGTGTGTGTTTAAAATGGTTTAGTTGCTAGAAATGAAAGCAATTCTTCATAAAAAGAGAACATATACAATTACATTTTATAAAATTTCAAAAATCTTAAGCAAAAAAAGATATTATCTTCTAAGCATATTGTACTAAAGCTAGTGTGTGTGTAGCTCAAAAGAAAAGTGCTGCTGGGCGTGGAGGCTTATGCCTGCAATCCCAGCACATTGGGAGGCCAAGGCAAGACGACTGCTTGAGCCCAGGAATTCAAGACCACCCTAGGCAGCATAATGAGACCCCATCTCTGCAAAAAAAATACAAAAATTAGCTGAGCATGGTGATGTCTACTATCGTCCCAGCTACTGAGGAGGCAGAGGTGGGAGGATCTCTTGAACCCAGGAGGTCAAAGCTGCCGTGAGCTATGACTGCACCACTGCACTCCAGCCTGGGTGACAGAGTGAGACCCTCTCTCATTAAAAACAAAGTGCTAGTGATCAGCAATCTGTTTTTGAGAACTGGGATGCATATTTCTGCAGGACCCTATGCTGAGTGGATTTTAGCAGTCTCTCCCTTGATAATGGACAGCTGCAAAAACCATCTCTCACTGACTGTCTTCCCTAGGTCGACCTGGCCGTGTCTGTTTCCCAGATCTCCATTGAAGAGAAAGTGAAGGAACTGAGCCCCGAGGAAGAGAGGAGGAAGTGGGAGGAAGGCCGTATTGACTACATGGGGAAGGACGCGTTTGCCCGCATCCAGGAGAAGCTGGACCGCTTCCTGCAGTAATCCGGCAGTGGTGGGCGTTGTGTGCAGTTAGACAATGTTCTGTTGTTGGGTGGTTGTGTTGCGTGGAAATCTCGTCTGGTCCCTTCAGAGGGAAATGCTGTTGAACCTTGTGCCTCTATTTATGCTTAATCCATTTGAGTGCCTCACACAAGGAACGTAGAGGATAGAAATCCACCTTAACGCCCCTCGCCCCAACCCCTGCACCAATGCCTTCTGGGCTCTCTTCAGAGCTCAGTTCTACCCTTCACCTTGTCGGCAAAAGCGAGCAATAACAAAATTCTAGTAGACCCTTGGCGGCGGTCTCTGCTCTTACCTGAAGTATGGTGGCGCTGTGTCGTACAGGTGCTAAGAGACCTACCCTATTTAGAATTAAACCTCACTGCAGACTTCCTCCCATCACTAAGCTAACAACGCTAATATATGTATTTAGCACCTCTGAGCCTTTGCAAAGGAGACCCATGTCTGTAGGGCTAAGGAAACATTTAGACGTCGTGACTTTGACTCTCATTTGGACTTGGCGAAGTGTATCTGAGAAACACCCCGGCTGTGGTCTCTCTGCTTTAAATCCTAACAGGACTTCTAGTGCTGTTGACAGAAATTCTACCTGTGGACGTTGGGAAGAAAGATTGTAGGTGGCCCGGGGGATGTAAGGTCTTCTAAACCGATTCACTTCCTGGTTTAGAAGAATCAAGGGCTTGCCCCCAAACGATTTAGAGCAACAACTTGCTGACGATAACAGGATCTAGAGATGCTCTGTGCTTGACGAAAAAATCAGTGTGCGGTCAGTCTACCCTCACTACCTCAGTTCTCAGTAACTTACTGAATCACTGTGCTCCTCAAAGCCGTTCCCACACAGCTCTTTCTGGAGAATTCTCAGTTTTATGAGACAGGACACTTTATTCCATGAGAAAGGCTCATTGTCAGAGCATCTTCATTTAATGGACACAGTATGCTGTGTATGTCACCAGGTGGCCGTCAGGAGCCACCGAGAGTGTCATTAAAATGGGCACGTTGTAATAAAGAGAGGAAAGTGTGATTTTTGAAATGTTTGGAAGGTTTATTTAGCATGCACATGCCAGGGAAAAGCAGAGAGGAAATGAGAGACGGGATAGGAAGGCCGTGGGAGAGCTCAGTCCTGGCTTGTGTTGGTTGGATGTGTTTACGTGGAGAGGCATGGCCACTTTTTATGTCACCTGAAGCAGTTTAGCCCTTTGGGTAAAGGAACATGCCTGGATTTATGGCATTAGTGGTGGCGGTTTTTTGTGCAAGATGTGGGTGATGGAGGGACTGTTTCTTTTTCCGTCTGAGTTGTTAATAGTCTGCAGTCTCAGAGGGCAGTGCTCATAGGACATTTCAGGGGTTAATTTAAAACAGCCATATGGATATAGTCTCAGGTGAGTCAGGGTTAGACGGTCACCGGCTTTCAGAGGGAGACCACGGGAACATTCAGGGAAAGAACGTCAGCTTCTTTGGGGACCAGAATTCATGTTCACGGGCAGTGATGAGTTGGCTCATGGAGTGAGTCCAGTATGGAATCCTGCTGTGCGTTCTAGCCTATATCATCTCATTTGGACAAACGCTGACGTGTTTAAATTAAAATGTTAAAAAACAGTCATGTGGTCTCCTTCCAGTGTGTGTTCGCCTGTGTTCTGTGATATCAGAGTTGTATTTTACATTAAACAAAGGGTAGAGCCTATTTCATTTTCAGCCTTTTCTATTGTATTTTGTTTTTAAAATAATAAGCATCAGGCTGGGTATGGTGGCTCACTCCTGTAATTGCCAGCACTTTGGGAGGCTGGAGCAGGCGGATCACCTGATGCCAGGAGTTCAAGACCAGCCTGGGCAACATGGTGAGACCCTGTCTCTACCAAAAACACACAAAAAATTTGCCAGACGTGGTGGCACCCATCTGTAATCCCAGCTACTGGGAAGGCTGAGGCATAAGAATTGCTTTAACCCGGGAGGTGGAGGTTGCAGAGAACTGAGATCACACCACTCTACTCCAGCTGGGGCGACAGAGTGAGAATCTGTCTCAAAAAATAAATAAACAAATAAAATCTAATAATAATGATAAGCATTATTTGAGCTGGAACTGCAAGGAAAAATTTTAAAAGTAAGCAATAAACATTTTATTTTTTATGTAAAATGCTTTTTAATTGTCATGTAATAATTGTACACACTTACGGGGCACATATGAAAGCTGCAATCCATGTAACATATACTGATCAGGTCAGGGTGATTAGCATATCCGTCATCGCAAACCCGTATCATTTTTTGTGTTGGGAACATTGAGTATTCTCCTTTTATATGCATATATTTGAAACTATATATTATTTTGAACTACAGTCATTCTACAGTGACTATATATCAGTAGTCCCCAACCTTTTTGGCACCAGGGACCAGTTTCATGAAAGACAATGTTTCCACAAACCAGGCTGGGGGCACTGGTCCTGGGGTGATTCAAGTGCATAACATTCATTGTGCACTTTATTTCTATTATGATTACATTGTAACATGTCATGAAATAATTGTACAACTCAGCATCATGCAGAATCAGTGGGAGCCCTCAGCTTGCTTCCCTGCAACTAGACGGTCCCATCTGGGGGTGATGAGAGCCAATGACAGATCATCAGGCACTAGATTCTCATAAGGAGCACACAACCTAGATCCTTCACGCACACAGCTCACAGTAAGGTTTGCACTGCTGTGAGAATCGAATGCCGCTGCTGATCTGCCAGGAGGTAGAGGTCAGGTGGTTATGGGAGTGGTGGTGAGTGGCTCTTATTTTTAAGAACAAGCCAGTTTTGATGTTCTAAATTGACTTCATACATCATCAGGGAAATGCAGCCAGTAGTTTAAAAAGCAGCTCTGAAACACCTTTGTAACAAATGAACATTAAGTTCCACATCTTCTTTTGTTATCTATAGAATAGGGATTCTATACCACATGCTCATGGGAATTTTCTGAGGATAAAACGAGACAATGAACATAAAGTTCTTAGCACAATGTGTGGCACCTATTGAGCACAAAAGCATGAGCTGCTGCTCCCTTCATCAACATCTGATTGAAATCTTGTTTTTGAGTCAGGGTCTCACTATGTTGCTTAGGCTGGAGTGCAGCGGCGCAATCAGGGCTTACCGCAGTCTTGACCACTTGACCTCGCAGGCTCAAGTGATACTCTTGCCTCAGCCACGCAAGCAGCTGGGACAACAGACATACACCACAATGCGCAGCTAATTTTTTTTTTTTTTAGTAGAGACAGATTTCGCGATGTTGCCCAGGCTGGTCTCAAACTCCTGAACTCAAGCCATCTGACTGCCTCTACCTCCCAAAGTGCTGGGACTATAGGTGTGAACCACCGTGCTTGACCTTATCGAGATCTTTAGAGATACTGCCAGTAACTTGGGTTTTTAAAAATTATCATTGCTTGAGCCCAGGAGGTGGAGGC